GACCTGGCGCTATATTCTTTCATCAACATCAAAGGGTTTCAAACTTTCAATTCAATGATGGGGTTGGACTCTGTTTGATCAAGGGTGTGAATGCTCTTGAGTGCGTTCTTGTGTGAATGTACAGACTCACTGCAGTGACCTGAACTGACAACACTATCTCACTCTACAACACTATGCCACTCGTGCCCATGTCTTTTCAAACTTTCGGCCCTGTGGCCAACCTGCCCAAACCCCCCCAAAAAACCACGCCGTTTATCACTCTCATTACGTATTCTTCTTAGTAGTTTTGAAATTGTTGCTTGAGATGATTGCCTCTCCATCCTTCTACAGTCAACCTTGGTAGGGTTGAGAATCTGGATACAGCCTCTTCCATGACATTCTCCTATTTCCCTTTCTGTGGTCTGAGCCCCGCCTTTTTTTTTTTTTTTTTTTTTTTCAAAAGAACAGGACCTTACAGTCCTGGCTCCATATCCATTCTGGCAAGCGCCAGTCCGGTTCCTATTCGACCGGCAAGTCAAAAGGGGTACAAGATTCACTCACCCAACGCTCCTTGCCATTATGGTTGGAAGACCTTGTTCCTTTTGTCCCTCCCTTTTGGTTCTCCTCAAGTGCAGGATTATGGGGGGGATGCTCATATCACCCCCTGCAATACCGGCCACCGATGCTCAAAAAAAAAAAAAGAAAAAAAAAAAAGGATTATGACTGTGGGATGGCAAACCTACCGGGAAGCACTCATCTTCTTCTAGTGTCACCATATCTCCCAACTTTCCTCTTCATGCCCACCCCACTGTCTCCCATTCTTCTGGTTCAGCGTCTGTTTTCGGTTCCTGTGTAAGATCGTTCACTTTCAGGCCCACTTGTCAGGGGAGAGCAATGTCCAAGTTCCCCTGACTCCGTTCCGGGTTATCCTTGTGGTTACCCCATTGTTCCCTAAGCTTTCCTCCCCTTCTCGCCCTCTCCCCCTTCTGCTCTTCACAGGTCCGTCCCGTGAGAGAGATTTTGCAGGATGGGGTCTTGAACCACCAGTACCTTTCTCAGTTATCGATGCCGAGGCTAGAATCGCCCTGCACGCCGAAAAAAAAACGAACGGCCATGGGCCTCATTTTGGCTAGAGCCACCAGCCATTTCGGTCCGGTAGTACCAAACCCCGCCGCCCTCCCGCGTTACCCGGCGCGACTCTGAAAAAATAGCTGGGAAAGTGTTTTTTTTTTTTTTTTTTATATGTTCCAATCTATTTGTGGGGAGCAGCACGTGCTGGGAACCGGGCCCAGCGTCCCTCATAATTGGAATACATTGACGACTGATGAGAATTTGGGATAATGCAGGAACACTTCAAGATGATTGAGATAATAAGCTAGAGATTGATGCTGACTACTCAGAATCATGGTAACCCCGGACCCGGACACCGGACACTTCCGGACTGTCTTCCGGACCAGTGTCTGGACCGGTCCGGACTGTCCGGTGATCCGGACATCACCGGACACTGGACATCACCGGACACCGGACAGTCCGGACCGGTCCCCGGGGTGCAAAAATGTCCGGACC